CTCTGTACTCTTCTCTTCTCCTGCTCTCCACACTGACTTCAGCATCCATAGCTATTTTCACTGCTTTTATGCCCTCTAATATTTCAATTTCTACCATGGAGTGCAGATGGTAGGTATATAGTAAGTGGACACATATAATATCTTTATGTTATAGCCTGGTTTGCTTCACTTGGCAATAGTTCTTCAATATTTGACCACTTTCTATCAAATGTCAGGGTCTTGTTGCTTTTTATGGCTGAATAGTATTCTGTAGAATATATGTGCCACACTTTTCCCATCCATTTATCTGTTTGTAGACATTTGGGTTGGTTCCATGTCTTACTGATCATGCATAATGCTGCAATAAACATTCATGTACAAGCAGTTTTCTGATTGGCATTCTCCTGTCCTTTGGGTAGATATCCAGAAGTGGGATTGCTGGATCAAATGGTAGTTCTATTTTTAGGTCTTTGAGGAACCTCCATATTGTTTTCAATATGGTTGAATAAATTTTCATCCACACCAACAGTGTAGGAGAGTTCCCCTCACACCACAACCCTGCCAACACTTAACACTTTTTGTATTTTTAATCTTCACCATTCTGACAGTGGTTAGGTGGTATCTTATTGTGGTTTTAATCTGTATCTTCCATTTAATCTGCATCTTCCATATGATGAGGTATGTTGGGCATTTCCTCATATGCTTTTTTGGCTGTTCATATGTCTTCCTTATAGAGATTTTTGTTCAGTTCATTTTCCCATCTTTTAATTGGGTTAATCATTTTTGGGGGGTAAGCCTCCTGAGTTCCCTGTGCATGTTTTTCAGTTCCTTATATTAGGCATTTTTTACAAAAATATTCTTCCATTTTGAGGGTCATCAATTCACACTAATTACTGTGTCCTTTTCTGTGCAGAAACTTCTTAATCTGATATAGTCCCAATTTTCTATTTAGGGATTATTGCCTGCGCTTTAACAATCTTACTTAAGAAGTCCTTGCCTACCCCAATGTCTTCTGGAGTTTCCCCACTGTTTTCCACCAGTAGTTTTATAGTTTGAGGTCTTAGTAGAACAGGAAAATTTGATATCATAGATGGAAAAAAGGAGACATTTTTAAGAAAAAAACTATTAAGAAAACATTTAAAAATATGAACGAAGGGCCAGCAGGTGGCATGGAGGGTAAAGCAGCTAGATCTCACATGACTGACTGAGCAGTTCAAGTCTCAGACCTAGCCACTTGAAAACTACCCTGGGCACATGTGTGCACATACCCCAAATCCCAAGAGGTGAATGGAGAAGAAACTGGAGTGTGACTACTCCCCCTGGGGGCAATTTCTCACTTTCTCTCTCTGTCTGTTTCTCTCTGGTGAGTGCACATGCTCTATAGCAAACTGAAAAAAAAAAAAAAAAGAAAGAAAATAAATGAGAAAGTAGGAAGAAGATTACTAATATTTGCAATTACAATACCTGCAAAAATATCTACTGATTGGTAATTTTTAGGTTTTATTTTGAAATAATGTATCAGAAATGAGAGATTTTTTCTTTAAAACATTATTTTAGAAGAAATTCATAAATGTTGAAAATACAGAAATGGAAAGCATTTCATCAAATACAAAACTAACTAAGCAACAAAATTAGTAAATTTTAACATGGACAAAGCAAAATTTAAAACAAAAATGTGTATGAGTGACAAACAGGGATTTTAATATTTGTAAAAATAATCTTAAAAAGTAATGATCACAAATACAAATACAATGATCAATATTGCTTCAAATTAAATACAACTGCAAATAAGACTATACAATGCAACAAATTAATAATTATAAATATATGTTTACTAATTTAACTATTTCAAATTGACATATATTAAACAAGGCACCAAAGAAGTAATATTATTAATATGGTTCAACTCTATGTAAATTTAGCATTAATGCCATCAAAATATTAACAAGAAACCATAAACTGTTTATAAAAATGGGTTTTATACTAGGCCAAATAAGTCCTATTCTAAGCTAAATATCACTAAACATGTTTTCTGACCCCAATTTAATAAGATAAAATATCAACACAGAAAAGTTTCCTTTCTAAAGTTCATATTGAGGAAAAATTACTCTGTCAAATAACTCTTGCATTAAATAGAAGTTATAAAAGATGTTTATAAATTCTTAGAATTGAATGAAAATATAAGAACCATGTGTGAACATTTGTGGAATTCATATAAACTGATATTTAGGCAAAAAAAACCCCAGTTTTAAATATATTTACTAAAAAGTTTTTTAAAAGAAAGATTAAAAAGAAGCTTTCAAAAGAATAACCAACTTATGTTCTCAAGAACATGGCATATCAAATGTCTGAAGAAATTCTCCTAGTTAAAAAGGAATAAATATAGTGAAAAACAAGTCTTCAGAAATATTTTAAGTACACACAATTCAGCTGTCATAAAAGTGTGTGTGTGTACATATATGAATGAAAAAGAAATCAGATGCCAAAAAGGGGGAAAAGTTGTCAAAAATGGTGGGTGTTGAAGACAGGGTTAGCTCTCAGGTTTTGTGAACTTTAATTGAGTAATTACTATTTATTTGGCTTTTTTAATTTTTAAATTTTTAAAAGAATTATTTATTTTAATTTTATTATTGTTATTTTTTAGTTTAACCAGAGAGAGATAGAGAGAGAGAAAGTGAGAAAGCAAGCCACCAGGTCCAGGACTTGAACTGTGGTTGACCTTGTGGGAATCTGGCACCTTAACCACCATGCCACCTGCTGGCCCCTTACTTGGCCTTTTAAATGAACTTACTATACATTAAAAAGCCATAGAAAAATGAAATGGAAGCACTAGCTTATTTTGATGAAAAAGAGTGAAATCCATTCATAGTTTTTTCAAAACATGCACTTTGCACAAACTTTTTGAAGAACTGTCATATTGATGACTTATTCAGCTCTACATCCTCAGCACCTATTTGAGTTTGTGTCTAAACATATTTATTGAATAAATGAATAGTAGTCATTCTCCATATTTGTTTGTAGTCCTTCTCCATATTTCATGGTTTGTAACCATGAAAAAAATGAAGAAATTAAAATATAAATAATATGATAATGATTAAGAATATTATTAGATATCTGCAAGAAGGGTTGTTATATGTCCCTCAAATGTGAGTACAATTTCTAAAACCTGGAAAAATGAACAAACTGTAATGTAATCTATATAGAGAGTGTAGTTACTTAAATAATATAATTTCAAATAAGCCAACTTGGTAAATTTGGTTCAAATAGTTTTGTGTTTTTCCCAGGTTTTTCCTAGCTATTTGTACATTCCAAAGAAGTTAGCTTAAATGTGTAAAAATATGGGACCACCAGTTGACGTAATGGCTATGTGACTGGACACCCATGTAGTCGACCATGGTTCAAGCCCAGACCCGGTGGCTTAAACTCATGCCAGGTGCATGTGTGTGCATGCCCAAGATCCCAAGAGAAGAATGGAGGAGAAGGAATTGCAGTGTGGCCATCCTCCTGGGAGGTGATTTCTCACTTTCTGTCTTTCTGTCTCTCTCTGTTTTTCTGGCAAGTGCATGTACCCTATAGCAAAAACCTCTCCAATAAATAAATACATAAATAAATAAAGTAAAAATATTGATTAGGGACCCTCTCATAGGAAATTAATTAAACCATTATATTGAGAGATATTCTTGGCATCAGGCCATAAATATCAGACTAGCGCACTTTAGGAAGTAGCCAAAGTAAGTCACTCAGTTTACATCTTGAGTTGTACATAAAAATTCACTTTAAAGTCAATATTTAATATATGTCTGCAAGTGCAAGTTTGTGTATATGAACACATGTGTGTATATGTGTGTATGAACCCTGAGAGCAGAATATTTCATACTTCACCCACACACAGATTCAGTTCTGGGTTCATTTTTGTGCCCCTCAATCAGTTACCATGTTGAGTCCTTCAGAACTGTACTTCTAAATACTAGAATCTTTATTCAGCTCTAATTGGTTCATGTACAAACGTCATCTCAAGTCACTGGATAAAGACTCAGTTCACCAGGCTTTGACCCTTTGTCTCTGAAGTGGGCTCCATTTGTCCATCTATTATTTTTTTAAAGAACTACTTTTACTTCTCTACGGTCACTCTCGAACATACATCAGTAAAAAATAGTCATTAGGATTTACACAGTGAAATTAAAAGTAACTTTTTTTATTGATCCCTATTCATCTCTTTTTTTTTTTTTTTTGGAGAGGATTTATTTATTTATTTTGCTATAGGATGCATGTGCTTGCCAGTCAGACACAGCGAGACAGAGAGAGACAGAAGGTGAGAAATCAACCCCCGCCTCCAGGGTGTATGGTCATGCCGCAATCTCTTCTCTTCTATTCTCCTCTTGGGATCTTGGGCATGCATGCACACATGCCCAACATGAGTTTAAGTCACCAGGTAAGGGACGCGAATCACGGTTGACTACATGGGAGTCCAGCGACATAGCTATTACGCTAACTGCTGATCCCCTACTCACTTTTTTAAAGAAATTCTTAGAAAAGTAACTTTTTAAAATATTAAAATAAACTTTCCAAAGAAGCATCCCCACCAGTCCCACACTTCCATATTCTTAATGCCAAGATTGATCACAACGTCCTTGTCTTGGTTTCTTTTTCTGTAGGCATCCTTGGGGGAATGAAGGTCAATGCTCAGGGAAGTTAGAAAAAGCACAATGCAAATTCTCATTTAAGATTCTTATTCTCATCATAATCTTTACAGTGATAGTCTCTAAGCTGGTGTTTTTCCTTCAGGAATCATAAGTGTCAAAACATTACAGGACAGAGAAGCAGAATGAGCCACTGAACTTTCAAGTGTGAGTAAAATCTCATGTGATTTCCTGAGATGTAATCCAAATTATATAAGATTTATGTGATGTTCAATAACACAGTTAAAAAGCAATGCCGAAATGTAGTGAAAAAGATACAGTTCTGCAAGGAATTCTTCACTGGCTCATTTTCCTAGAACATTCATTTCTCCCCAAGCTTATCTAGGTGGTTCTGACAATTTTTCCCTTCTTGCAGCATCTCAGTTGTAACAGTACCCTCAGAAAGGCTTGCTTTAGCTTGCTGTTCCCTACAATTATGATAAGTGAGTGAACCGAGGGATAGATTGTGGAGGTTGTCATACCAAAAATAAACAGCAGTCTGTTTTCTGGCACAGTAAAGGACATTGTTTCTATGGAAACGCCTATAAAATACAAGATAAAGAGAATAATGAAAGATACTAGAACTCTCATTGCCCTCATATGAGCTTCTGTGTTGGTGTCTCTGAGACCTGTGAGAGTCAATTGCATCCGCCTGTTGTGTCTCCAAAGGGAGAAGATTAACAAGAAGCATGTAACTAGGGAGAGTATAAAGTAGAAAATGACTCCAAGGTTGAGCAAAATCTGTTTTATAAAGAATTGACTTCTTGACATGTTGAAAAACCAGGTTGAGTTTCTGTACGTCCATCTATGATCATTAAGAATCTCCGCAAGTTGTGAAAAAGTAAGTAACCATGAAATAAGCAAGGATCCTAATAGAAGAGGAAGCACTACACTGATTCTCCCCTTCAACCAAAGAAATACATGGTGTGAAAAATTTGCTACTTTCAGAAAATAGAAGATGCTAAGGCTGGTGGCAAACCAGACACTTGATTGATTAATAAGAACCCATAAGTAACTAATACAGTGAACTACATTATCATAAGGATATGTATTTGTAGAGAATATCCTCATAAATCCATCTGTAATTATTAACCATATCAGAAAAATTCTGGAAATAGCCAACCCAGTGAGAATAAAGTCAATCGTAGAGAATTTCTTATACTTGACACAATAAACGCAGTTTACAAGTCCAATAAATCCATTTGCTAAAACCCCCAATATTGTCTCACTAATTGCAGCAAAAATGAGGATGCCCTCTGCTATACTTGACATATCTGCCTACCCCTAGTAATAGTTCTGCCGTATCTTTTTCAGATTACCTGCTGTAGCATGACGTGTATACTGGCTGCTCAACACAGAGTGATTGTCTTCTTTTTCGTTCTATCAAGATGTAAAAGTGTCCTTGTAATGTTTGGTGATGGAATCAGAAATACCTTTATGGAGACTGCTCTAGTTACTTTTTAAAAACTTAGCTACTTGCTACTCTAGATGGTATATGTCTGGATTGAATATCTATCTACAATTTGTTAAGATGCAAATGAAAGTTTCTGTTTCATGGATTTTACTTGTCCTCCTGGGACTATTTTGCATTTAATAAATTGAACTGCGGGATAGGAGTGCCAATTATATACCTACACGATACAAAACAGAAGAGAAACAAAAAGTAGACTTCAGTTTTGCAATATGAAATCACTATCATTCTGAGTACTGAAGTTTTTTTTTTTTTTCTCTGAGTAGTTCCTAAAATGGTAAGATAATGTGGCTACATATCTATAATTTTCACATAACGTGACTCTGATCAAGTCCACAGAATAAGAAATATTATGGGACACCTCTCTCAAATGTGTTGCCATGAATAAATCCTTTTAATACATGTTATGTTCATCTTTATGACATCATGATAAGTGAAAAATATCTTTTATCTACACTTTTTTTAAAAAAAGAAAATTTAAATTTTAGAATCTGAGCCTATGCTATAGCTAAAAAATAAAAACATTCACTTATTTTAATTTGCTTTGGTTGATTGCTATTAAGGTTGAGGATTATTTATCATCTGAATAATTTAATAATGGAATATTATTGTTTTTGTATTCATTGTTCACATTTTTTTTTCTTTTTTAAAAATCACACTAGAGAGCTTATGCGTGCTTGAGAGAGAGAGGAGAGAGGGAGAAAGCACCCTCTATTGGGCCTAGTCGTACCACGGTCTGTTTTCTTGCAGTTTTGTATCCTGTCAGTATTCTGAACACACACACCTATCGAGCAGGAAGGCCACTAGGGTCAGGACTCAAAGCCTGGATAATCTTGTGGGATCTGGCTTTCTTTGTACTGTATTTAACCCTGTGTTACAGATAAGCCTCCCACATATTCTTAATATTTTGCAAATCACTCATATTTTATGAAAATCATTTCTTGTCCTGCGATTTTTCCTCGTAGTCATCAATTACCTTTGAGTTTTGTTCACGGGATCGTTGTCCTTGTTATTATTGTTTTATATAATATACAAGTATAGCATATATTTTTGTAGTTAAGTACATCTATCTTTATCTTTATGGTTTCAAACTCTTTATGATCCAAAATGTTGCCTTCCTGATAGCAAATGTGCATCTTTATTTTTATGAGTCCTTTTTTACCTTCTAAACTTTTTATTAACCAAAAAAAAAAAAAAAGAAACTCTAAGATATTAAGTTAAGATTCTTCTCTCCACCCTCAGTAGCTCACAATCTTTATGAAGATTCTTGGTTTTATAACCTGAAACCAACTTTAATCAGCTTAATTAGAAAAATGATTTGTAGGACATATATTGGAAACTCAGAATTGATAAATAAACTTCAAAACCTGTCTTAGGCAATAACAAAGAAAGGGAAGATCAGCAGAGTCCAACCACGGGAGAAGTTCTTTTAGACTGTCTTTCCAGCTGATACCATAGGACACTTCTATGCTTCCCTGGCCAGTGCCATCTTTAAATTCATTGTATGGAAAACAGACAATTGGCTTTTTTTCACCAATTCTATAAAAAAACATAAAAAAACCATGCATCTTTAGATTGCTTCTGAACGATTTAAAGAAAACTATCATTCAAAGGGATCTATCAGAATTCAGGAAAAAAATCAACTTCTTTGATAGGAAGCAAAGCTACCTCTTACTATGAAAGAATCCTTACCAAACAGGAAAGGATATCAAATGCTGAACAGTCTACAAATGTAACTCATAAAGATGGTTACCTATTCCCTAGAGGAGGAGAGGTTCTGATTAATCAATTTTCCATCAAATAACTATTGGTTTTCCTAAAGTATGGTGCTATATTTAGGACTAAATGAGGGATTTTTTGATGACATCAGATAATTAACAGCGGATTCTAGATCAGCTCTGCAGACAAAGAGTTCATAGTATTGAATCCAAGTCCACACTTGTTCTTATCATCACATTGACTCCTATCACGGGCACTTTAGGGAAGCATCATGGAGGGCAAAGCCCGAGGGTAGCTAATCTCTACTGGCAGAGTCATCCGATATACCTAATATTTCTGTGTCTCCTCTGTTGTGAATGCTCTCTGGTGATTATTGATATGAACACAATGATCTTCATACTTGGTACCCACTTTGAAGGTGCATCCACCTGTTTCTTAACTCCTACTGTTCATTATTTTCCTTCTTATCTGTTGGCTAACTAGTGAAGACATCTGCTACTGTCCAAGTGTATATGCTTACCTCAGACAACCTCTTCTTTCGTAAAAAGATGTGTACTTGAGGGGCCAGCTAGTGGTGTGGTAGGTAAGTGGGCTGGACCCCACATGGCTAACTTGCTATGCAATTAGAGCACTGGACATGGCACCTTGAAAAACACATGGGAAGCATGTACATAGCTCCCAAGAGGAGAATGAAGGAGAAGAGATTACAGTGTGGCCATCCTCCCAGGAGGTTATTTCTTACTCTGCCTCTCTCCCTGTCCCCTCACTCACCCCTATCTGAGGAGCACATGTGCCCATAGCAAAAAAAAAAAAAAAAAAGTACTTGAAATTATGTTTTTAAGGAGAATTTTTTCTTTAAATTGTCATTTTATAACTGTCCTTTAATAATACCACTAAATAAGCTGTAGCATGACAAAAGTCCATTTTTGTTAAACATTAGTATACTGAGATGACTCATGAATGAATCAGACCTAAGTATTTACCGCTACCATTGGTTGTTCCCTGGAGAAGAGTTAGTGCCATGGAAGTAAATGGCATGGATCTAGGCAATATAATTATATGAAATTTTAAGGCCTCTAAACTGTCTCAGAGCCAATCCTCTGGAAATAATTTTTATTATATGATAGATTATTACTGTACCCAGCTGGGGACTTGATGCATCTGGCAATACTCCTAATGGGTGGCTCTAGTTACAGAGTTTCTTGATATCTTCATTCTTGTGATTTCTCTAGAGCTTAATAATATAAGACTGGATCTCTTGGTGGAGTAGTTCTCTCTGCAGAATGAGTGATCTTGCTCCAGTGTTCTTAGGGGATTGGGCTGCAACTCTGTTGGGGGCTTTTAGTGCCTCCACACAATACCTTCATCTACCTCTAACAACACTGAATCTGCATTGAGTCTAGCCCCTCAAGTATACAACATTGAATCTGTCATATGACCTAAGGGACAATGTATTTGGCACCACTTCCTGGACCTGCCAGCTGAGACCTCTTTTGCCCTGGTCCTTTTTTCTTTGAAAACTCTTGTCGAGATAGTTATCTGGTTTTACTTCTTTATGGTCTTGCTCAAATACACCTCCTCTGTGATAATCTTTCTTGACAAACCTATTAAAATTACAACATTTTGGGACCAACAGGTGGTGTGATGGTTAAGATGCTAGATTCTCACAGCACTCTGACTACGGTCAAGTCCTGAACCCAGTGGCTGGAAAATCACACCAGACGGCTTCAAAAATACCAGGAGCCTGTATAGGCATGCCCAAAATTCTAAGAGGAGAATGGAGAAGAAGGATTAAGGCATGGTCATCCTCCTCTGAAGGGTGATTTTTCACTTTCTCTCTCTCTGTTTCTCCCCCCTGGCTGGTACATGCACCTATGGGGAAAAAACAAAAACCGATGAACAACAACAACAAAACCAAAACAACAACAACAACAACAAATTCTCATATTTTCTGTTAAGATAATTATCACTATCTAAATTTTCTTAATTTTTATATTGTTTGTAAGTGAGTTACATAAATGTAGAGCATGTTATATTTTTCCACTGCTGTATACCAAATAGTCCATCAGAAATACACTAAGGACCATGAAGTGGCTTGGTGGTTAGGGGACTGGATCTCTGTGGCCAACTATAAGGCTGAAATCTCAGCCCCGGTGGCTTGAGAAACATGCTAGGCACAGGTGCATGTGTACCCCAAATCCTGGCAGGATGGAAAAGTGGAGGAAATGGGATTCTCTCCATAGGAGGGAAGAGGATACTTTCTCCCTCTTTCTCTGTGTCTTTCTTTCTCTGGTGAGCACACATGTCCTCTGGCAATTTTTTTTTCAAAAATATGTTTAAATGAGAAAGAATATAATAAATGCTCAAGCTATATGCAATTTCTCTCTGGATACTATTATGGATATCCTGTTACGGATATAATTTGACTAGACAAAAAATTACGATATCTATGACTAGGTATTGAGTAATAAAAAGCTGAAATCATCAGAATTTCTATTAACCATTGAAATTAGAATTAAACTATGAGTTTGCTTATGTTTTAAATCTCTAAGTTTTAAATTTCAGTAATGATCATATTAGATCTAGACATTGTTAGGTCTGAACTGTTGGAGCAAAGAGGTAGTACCTGGGCTAGGGGATAGGGCAGACCTATCAGTTATGAAAACATATTTAGAAAATAATAACCAAATAATTATTATTTGGAGTACAAAGTTGGTCATGTTAGCTCCTTGGTGTTTGAAGATAGCTCCTATGGCTTCAGAGCTGGTAAGATGAGCGAGGTAGTACATTCCTTCATGAAAAGTGATAAATATTTTATAACTGAGAAGTATAAAATTTTTATGCTTACCTAGCACTATTAAGCAAAAAAAAAAAAAGGCATTACATTAGAATTTATTTTCTGAAAGCTAATAATCTGTGGGAATCATCTAGTTAGCACAGAGTATAAAAGTGATATTGTAGGGTCAGCAGGTGGTATGCTGGTTAAGGCACTGGACTCCCATATGATCAACTGCAATTCAAGTCCCAGATCCAGAAACTCGAAACTCTCACTGTGTGTGTGTGTGTGTGTGTGTGTGTTTGT